CTCGGTGTGCACCCTGTCCAAAGTTCGGTGCTGTAGCAGGTCACTGAGTCTGGTCCTGAAGTCCCACGGTATCTCCTAGGTCCTGAAGTCCCCCGTGATACCTAGGGTCCTGAAGTCCTAGGTCCTACCGTCCTGGTGCTAACTGAGTCCTAGGTCCTTGCGGTCGCCGTGTCCTAGTCGGATGCTGAGGTCAGGCCGCCCGATCCCTATGTGTGGGTGGGGCTTTAAACCGCCCTCGGAGCGCGAGAGAAAGCCTTGGAACTCTCTATATTCCATGTCTGTCCTGTGCTTCCTTCTGGTTTCATTCGCACAGGGGCTGGGTCAATTCGGTATCCGTCTTAGTGTTTGATGGTGCACAATCATGTACGTGAGGAATCCTATCCATACTCCCTTCCCCCATCGTTCATTCCTGTCGTTCTCATCATACTACTTCCCTGATGGCTCCCACAGGATTGTTGACATCCTCGTGGATTCATCTTCTTATTATAGACACATGCATTTCCAAACATTTGGTCTACCTATGTTGTAAATGTATTATCTCTTCGATTTACACACGGCATCTATTGCACTCTGTCCGTCCTGGGAGAGGGATCCCTCCTCTGTTGCTCTCCCTGAGGTTTCTCCCATGTTCCCCTTTAAACTGTGGGTTTTCTTAGGAAGTGTTTCCTTGTACGATGTGAGGGTCTAAGGACAGAGGGTGTCGTATTGTCATACTGATATTCTGTACAAACTGTGAAGTCCACTGAGACAAATGTAACATGTGTGATATTGGGCTATATAAATGAACATTGATTGATTGATGATTGAAAGTCATCACATTTGTCAAAGGATTTTGCACCCTAAAAGATAAAATACAGTTTTCACAAAGGACATGCATTGCAGTGCAGTCCAGTTTTACTATTAATACTTAGGCTGTAGAAGTTATATATGTATATTTAACATATCCTATTGAACTGTTGATATATTGTAACTACTTTAAGTTTCAAGGTTAAACATTGTGTATCTGTTAAACATAAAACATGTGCTTTTTTTGTGGATAAGAGTTATAAGGATTTGTCCTGGTTAGTTACAAACATGCATTAATGTCATGTAAAAAACTGCCTATGGAATGAAAATGACATGTTAATTTATCAGCTTTCTAGTAAGGGTATAATAAAAAATTCAATGTGAGGTTAAATTTAAACCAGTTTGAAGAAATATAGAGTATAAAAGAGTGCTCAGGTTAAAGTGAGTTAACGCTACTTGGTCATGAGGTTCCTGCCATGCAATCAAGGTATCGCACCACAGATCCAATTACCCTGACATTGATCTGTAGATGCATCAAGCCTAGCTGTGCAGACAGAAGATCAATCGGGCTGATCGCGTATCTCCAGCATTGTTGACAGGGAGATAGTGGGGGGGATGTGAGATTAAAGCAGTGAGAATGGAGGTAGTAGCCGAGGTTAAAATAACTTTTAGTCTCGACTAGGGAAGCGATGCGTGAGGAATAGAAGTAAAAAATTAGGGAAAATGGAGGTGACAGAGAGTGAAAGGAAGCAACCATCTCACAGTACATTAGTTTCATCTGCCAGTCATAGATAAAATAGTTTAAAATATCCGCATTAATGATTTTGTACGTTTTCCTTTCGCTAACTGAATTCAAACAAATTCGGACAGAGTCCAAATTAGTTGTTTATTAAGTGTAATCAAGTGTGCCACAACCCATTTAGAGTTACAGTAATGGAAGTCAAAACTTAAAGGAGGGAGGTCATCATGACTTGAGCTTTTATAAATAAACCAATTCATTCAAAAACATTGCAAAATCTGACAAATGCAATTATATATGGGGCTTCAACTAAGACTCAGTCTCAGACTCCACTGCTGATACTCTGACAATAAATGCTCAGTCAATTAAAACATCAATAGCAATGTCATAGAGGGTCTTCAACTGTCCTGTTTATACAACCAGCAGTCAATAATCCAAAAATAACAAATTCACAATGTTATAAACAGAAATCAACTGCACATCCAACCAAGAATCTTTAATCTGCTAAACTTTAGCATTTCTGCTTGAAAAATAACTACAACATTAGTATGGCACCTTCTTACACCAAGAGACAGATTTAAAAACCAAATAATGGTAAAATTGAAGCAGCAGAAATAAATAGCCCCACCTGAATTCCCTAGTTTTTGCCAAGCTCAAAATATTTGGAATCCTACAATTCCCACAATGTAACATAACAGCTGTTCCTTAATACCCAATACGACATACATTATTTTATTGGCTGTATGGGTTCTCTCGTGACAAGTAAACTGGATTTCATGAGGTCAATTGGTGGAAGATATGCAAAAACTCATCAGCCCAAAAGTTAGACCCAAGCTCTGTCGTCTTACCTGGCTGGAGATCCATGGACTGAAGAATGTAGGGTAGATGGATGATCATGAAAACAGATGGCGATGGTTTGATGGTTCTTGAAATGGAGATGATTATGTAATGATTTCCAAGCCCCTGATGAACAGCATGATAAGAAGACAAGCATGTGAACATAGAAACGCATGTTTCAATACCGTCACAGTTCATAGGCATATTGGTTTCACACAAAATTGCTTTAACCGGCTGTAATAAGATGAGAACAGATAACGGTCACATGCTTTTATTCTCTTTGGAAATGGGGGCTTTTCATCCTCCAGAGTGTCTCATGAAGTAGCAGAGAAAAGGCAAATGATGCTTTCTAATCATGCAGATACAAATGCAACTTGTTTGCACATTGATGTGTGTATTTGTGCATGACGCCAAATTAATACATTGTATATAACCTACAAAACACAAAGGAGTTGTTTCATTTCAGTAAATTGCAACACAGCTGAATCAGTCTATACATTATGATTATGGTATCTGAAAAGGCTCAAATCCAAATTTGGTGAAAGCCAAAACCCTCTGAGGATGCTGATGAAATGATGGCATGACAATGATGGCTTATGATAATGAAGTTAAGGAAGCTCATCATTAGTTGATACACTTTGGGTGGGTAATGCCAATAGGGAAAATACCACATAACAACTGAAAATAAAACCTCATCAAACAACAGCTTCTCCCCTAACCCGGAAGTCTTCCTCCTCAGACAGACACCACAAACATGTCGGACCACAAGACGGACAAGACACCAAGTTACTGTACCTGCCGCCCTCCCATTCCCCTCACCCAGACAACACACCCGCCCTCCCCCATCCCCCATCCCCAACACAACCCTACCTGCTTGTTTTTGAGGTCAAGCGAGAGCTCATAGTCGGAGGTGGCGGAGTGCGAGCCGGCCCCGTTGCGCTGCACCCTCAGGGGCGAGGCCGTGTGGTGCAGGCTGGCCCTCCTGCCCGCCCCCCCTCCTTTAGCTCCTCCCCCTTCCTCCTCCTCCTCTGCCTCCTGTGCTGCCTCGCCCTCACGCCACTCGGGCTGCGCCTCCTCTCCATCTTGCTTTCTCTCTGCCTCCTCGACTTCTTCTTCCTCCTTCTCTTGCTCCACCACTGTCTGCTCCTCTCCAAGAGGTGAAGGGGCTTCAGGGGGGTCCTGTTCAGCTTCCTCCACTTCGGGCTCAGTCTCGGGCTCCGGTACAGGCTGGGGCTCGGGCTCGGGTTCGAGTTCTGGCTGAGGTTTGGTTTCGGGCTGTGGTTCGGGCTGAGGCTCAGGTTGGGACTCACACTGGGGCTCTGGGGGAGGTTGAGACAGTTGCTCTGGGGATGGTTGAGTCTGTGGGGGTGGGGGGGGTTGAGTCTGTGGCTGTGGGAGGGGTTGCGTCTGTGGCTGTGGGGGGTTTGCGTCTGTGGCTGAGGTTCTTGCAGCGGTTGCTCAGGCTGTGGTTGTGCCTCGACCCTCACTCTGCAGCTCCCCCTCTCCTCCTTGCCCTTCCTCGCCGATAGACGGTTCTGGAGGAAGGTCATCGCTGCAGAAAGGAGGAGAAAAACGCAGAGTGAGGTTGCCTGCTGCATCCGTGGTGACCTCCTGACCTCTTCTCCAGGCTGCCTGGGGTTAGTGGTAAGAAGTTTGTAAGATCTCTCTCTGTGCTACCAACTGGGTGCAGGGCCAGTTCATCTGTCTACCGTGCTCTGTTCTGTCTGCTTTAGTCTGTCCTAAGACACTGGACAGACAATGAAACAAATAAAAAAAATGTACAGCACAGACACAGCTGACAACACCACCGTGTACAAGAGGAGTGAGAAAAAGATCAAAGAGCGGCTATTTATTTCATCGGAACATGTTCAGGAAGAGAAGAAAATGACAAAGAAAAACAAGAAAGCTGACAGCCAATTTGTGACACACACACACACACACACACACACACCACACCACACACACACAGCACAGCACAACACACACACACACACACCAACACGGACCACACACACACACACACACGCACGACGCGCGCACACACACACGCAGCGGCGCGAGGGGAAAGTCACAGCAGCCAATGACAACGGTGTAGTTTTAGATTGTTTGTGTGCTGTGTACAATGTTGCAGCTGTGGAAGGAGGTTTTTTTGCTTTTTTTGTTTTAATAGAGAAGTAGATATGTTTTATCACTTCTTACTTTGTCTTTTTCTGTGCTTCCCCGTCATATTGAGTGTCCCAAGTTCTATACGTGATGACCTTGAGTTGAATCCAGTTCCTAATGGGATTCTGACTTCCTGTTATGGATGTGTTCTATGTGGCATGATGGATACGACGCATTAGAATATTATCTGTCTCTGCATTAGAACGGCTTGTATCATGCTCGGATGTTACCATGAGCAGATTACAAGCAAAATGTGTCCGTGATACATCCTTTTGTTGTTGGTTTTTGGTAGATGGGTGGTATGGGTGATGAGTTCTGGTATTTTATTTATGTGAGAAGCCATATTGGTTGTGTGTGTGGTGTGGTTGGTGGTGGTGGTTGTCCCCCCCCTGTGTCTCATGTCTAGGGTAATTACCTGAGATATGATTGATATAAAGGTATGATTTAAAGTAAGAAAAACTAGGAAGCTGGTGTCACGAGGGAACATGGTTACATGAACCCTCGTATGAAGGTGTATTCATTCGCGAGATACCCCGAGAGATGGGGTGAAAAGTTGCTCGAAATGTAATGTAAATGTAATTACAACGCGCCTTGGTGGAAACACACATTTTTGGCAGTAACATTTTCCAGGGAACAATCCTTTAAATAATTTTTTAAAACTCAAAAAAGCTAACTATGGTTGCACTACTTCCCTTTGCGATACACACCTGGAAACACATGAATGCTGGGATCTTGACCTATTACCATTTTGACTTTTGACCTTCTGGTAACGTTGCAATAAAATTCCGGAGAGGATCACCAAATGTATTTAAATTCATCATGCTGTACACCAGTTTGAATATCGTAAAGGTTCCATGACAATCCGGTTAGCAGTAGTCGAAAGCTATATCCAATCTGAC